TCCCTGTCCCACTCCAAACTTCTCTAGTGTGAGTGATAAAGTATTTATCCTTGAAAATCATCCAAAAAACCCTCCAAGTAGATAATTTTAGAATGAAAGCTGTAGGTTAGTCATATTTGTCCAAGATTATCTAGTCAATGGGGAGAAATTTTTTTTTAATTGTACTTTAGGTGAAGGTTTACAGAACAAATAGTTTCTCATTAAACAGTCAGTACACATATTGTTTTATGACACTGGTTAACAACCCCACAACATGTCAACCCTCTCCCTCCTCGACCTCTTTTTTTTTTTTTTTGGTGAAAATATACATAGCCAAAGATACACCATTTCAAAAATTTCTACATGCACACTTTAGTGACATCAATTACGTTCTTCCAGTTTTGCTGCTATTCTCACTTTAGATGAAGGTTTACAGAACAAAATAGTTTCTCATTAAACAGTACACATGTTGCCCTATGACAATGGTTAACAACCCCACTACACATCAACACTGTCCTTACTCAAACTTGGGTTCCCTATCATCAGCTTTCCTATCCCCTTCTGCCTTCTAGTCCTTGTCCCTGGACTGTTGTGCCTCATTAGTCCCGTTTTGTTTTATGGGGCTGTCCAATCCCCAGCTGAATGGTGAACCTCAGAAGTGACTTCACCACTGAGCTAAAAGGGTGCCTGGGAGCCATACTCTCGGGGTTTCTCCAGTCTCTTTCAGACCATGGGGAGAAATTGTTAAGGAAAAAAAAAATTCTCATGGTGACAAAGAAACCATTTGGGAGGGAGCTACATTTCCTCAAACAAGTCAGAATAGAGATATTTTCTAAAGTAGTCATACTTGCCTTAAATCAAGGCCAAAATTATTTTGCTATTAGGATTTGGCCACCAATTAATTTCTTTTCTGACCCTGTAGAAAAACAAGCAAAGGGCATAGATAGGCAATTCTCAAATAGACAATAAACATATGAAAAAACTTTTAATCTTACCACTAATCTATGAAATACAGATAAATAATAATGAGAAATTAGTTTTGGAGAAGCTCATAAAAAAACGTGAATAGTAGTGATTACCTTATAGGGTATTCTGGGCTACTTTTAATTTCTTCTTTGGATTTCAATGTTGTTATTGTTGTGTGCTGTCAAGTCGGTTCCAACTCATAGTGACCCTATAGCCCCATAGAGTTTCCAAGGCAGATTGCCACATCTTTCTCCCTAGGAGCAGCTGGTGTGTCTGAACTGCCGACCTTTTGGTTAACAGCTGAGTGCTTTAATCACTGCATTACCAGGGCTCCCTGGATTTCAGTGTACTGCCTGATGTTTTTTTCAATAAGCCCACAACATATTCATAAATATAAAGTTATTTATAAGCAAAATAAAATGTCTCATTAATTGTTTGCAGAAAAATTCTGGTCAATGGATCAAAATAGAGAATTCAGAAATAGACCCAAGCAATTTAGTTAGTATAATAAAGGTGATATTGCAAATAAGAAGGGGACAGAAAGATTATCAAATAAATGGTACTAGAAAAAACTGGCTAATAAAAATAAATTTTAAAAAATGGATTCCTAACTCATTGCTTACTCCTAAATACTAATTCGTGATGGTACAAAACATTAAAGTACTATAAAAAAAATAAGAACACCCATTAAGAAGATGCCCATTATTGTTAAAAGATGTTGATCATTTGATATGAAAGTATATCATTAATATATCCATAATTGATTAATAATTCATAATTAAATGAGTAGTTTACAAAACATAATACGATGTATACGTAAACTGATATACATAAATAGGTAGGTGTTTATACGCACAAAGAAATTTCTGGAAGGATATGTACCAAAATGCTAACAGTGCTTATCATTCATTGGTTGTTAAGATTTATGTTTTTACACAACTTGACCAAGGTAAATGGTGACACTAAGAAGTACACAAGAATAAGGGACAATTTTGGTAAAAGCCACAACATACAATTTTGCAACAACAGTAATAACAACCAAATAATATGTATGTTTTTATACAGGTAGATATGTATGCTTATATATATATAGGTAAGCACATATGAATATATGGGTGTGCATGTATTGGTGTTTCTGTAGGCAAATGTATATACATGTTTGTGTGTGTTGCATATATTCATATATAAAACAAAGCACACAGTTATGGATGCTCCTTAGACATAACCAAATACCTCGAGGGATTGGGTTACTGTGTTTGGTGAGTAGAGTCTGAGGTCTTAAAAGCTTGCCAGTGGCCATCTAATATACAAGCACAGTATTAGTCTCTATGCGTCTGGAGCAAAAGAGAAAGAAGAAAACCAAAGACTCGAAGAAACTAGTCTACAGGACTCAAAGTCTACATGAGCCACAGCCTCACCTCCCTTGAGACCAGAAGAACTAGACGGTGCCAGAAGAACTACCACTACTGACCACTTGGACCAGGGACACAATAGACGGTCCCATATAGAACGTGAAAAAAATGTAGAACAAAACTGAAATTCCTAAAAAAGACCAGACTTACTGGACCAGTAGAGACTAGAGGAATCCCTGAGACTATCATCCTGGGATACCCTATAAGCTTGGAACTCAAACCACTCCCGGTGGTCGTCTCTCAAACAAAAGACAGAGTGACTTGTAAAATAAATACCATCCGTGAGTACTGTGCTCCTCTAAACAATCATCTAAATGAAACCTAAAAGTCAACATCTACCTTAGACCAAAGATGAGAAGGTAAGGGGGGACAAGGAAGCTAAATTAATGGAAACAGAACAACCAGAATGGAAATAATGATAATATTGACCCATTGTGAAAAGTGTAACCAATATCACTGAATAGGAGCCCTGGTGGCACAGTGGTTAAGCATCCGGCTGCTAACCACAAACGACAGCACTTCAAACCTACCAGCTGCTTCTTGGAAACCCTATGGGGCAGTTCTACTCTGTCCTGTGGGATCACTATGAGATGGAATCAACTTGATGGGCAACGGGTTTTGAAGTAATACGTATAGAAACTGTTAAATGAAAACCTAATTTGCTATGTAAATTTCTTCCAAAAATATAATATTTTTTCAAAGGTTGTGTTTTTACTATCACTGGAATTGTCTATACTGGATTTTTTTCTTTGCAATGTTTATATGCTTTGAAGATCAGAAATAAACGATAAAAGTAAATTCATTCACAAATTAGAAGAAAAAGTTTCCCCTTAACTTCTGAATTATGAGGGCTATGTGATAAAGCACAAATCCTATAACAAAAAAAGATAAAGGTTATTATAATTTTAATATTCTCATTTGAAATGAATAGTTTATCATGTTTTATATTTTTATTTACTACTTATATTCTATGACCAAGTTTAGATAGTGAATGTGGTTAAGGAGATTTTCTACTTTAGTATGTCAAATCACCTTTATAGATTTTTCTGCTTCCATAGAAGTAGCAAGACATCTTCCAATTCAGTCTTTAAAAGACTATATCCTGTGAATTTTTATTCAAATACAGATGGGCAATTCTTGTCATTCGTAAAAATGGGCTAAATATGTTCCTTACCTTTCAATGAAAAGTAAACACTGGTCTTTTTAGTTGTACCAAGGGAGTTGTTCTGTAGCAGAAAATAATCCTGTAAATAGAAATAAGAGATACCTGTTTTTAAACTTCATTTTGCAAGTTTATTCACATATTATTGGATATGTAAATTATCATTTGACATGGCTAGAATTTTACAATGTTAGAAGAAAATTGGTGGCAGATGACACTGTAAAGTATACCCTGAAAGAAGATGCACCTTCATTAGCACAAATCCCGCTCCCATCCTGCTGTTCGTGGAATTGAAACCTGCTGTACAAAAGTATAAAGCAAACCTTTGGTTTTTAATAGTACTACCTGACATTTGCATACCCCTCTGTTTTATCTTCAAGGTTGTTGCAAGCTTTGAGAAGGGCTACGTGGCAAGTCAGCAGCAAGGTTGGGGTATTATTATATGCCAGCTTTAAAAGAAAAAAATATATAGTAAAAACGGTGGACTGACTCACGGCATCATGGGTTCACAAACCTTGTAGCTGCATATAAACCAGGCTTGCCAAACATCAGACAGCACTTATTAAAACTGCTACGTGGAATGCAATATGACTGCTGTCTAGCCCCTCCCCCCTTGCCAATAAACGACTCCCCTTTTTCCAGTATAAAAATACATGCTCATAGAACATTTAGAATATAGAAAAAAGAAAAATAAAGAGTTGTTAAAAAAATCATCCATAGTCACGCTACCCAGTGATGCCATTTGGAGTATTTTCTTCCAAGTCAAAAAAAATTTTAAACAGATTTTTGCCAGGAGGCCCGTGAAAAACAAAACGTGATTTCAGGATGGGCGGATAGAGAGAAGGACACTCCTCTCCCCTTGTTAGGAATTAAGGCTGATTGATATTTTTACCTCTTGTCTAAGCTTTTTTTGAATTATAAAACTATAAAGACAGCATTTTGAGGAGGGGAAAAAAAAGTCTTGCAAGGATATATGCCTCAACCACCTAAGAGCGTCCGCGAAGGTGGGCAGAGCCAAGGCGGGGGTGAGTTTGGTCATTCATTGGGTTTAGGATTTGTCAATCAAGGCTTCCCAGCAAATGAGGTGCGAAATAAAGGCACACTGGGAACGAAATTAACGGGAGATCTGGCTGCTAAGGGAGGGGGCTTGAGATCTGAACCGAGAAGAGATCTTGGGGTCTCATTCTGCGCCATTCGGCTGCGGCACCGCCTCCGTCCGCCGCAGCTGCTGCCTGGAGAGGCCTTGTCACCGCCGCTCTCGCCCAGGCGTCCGCTGTCGCTGACACCTCAGCGTGGGTCACTGCCGCCCCAACCCCGCCTAGCCCTGCGCTGCTGCTGCCATCGCCGCTGCCACCTCCACCGCCCGGGCCTTCGCCGCTGCTGCCGCTGCCGCCCAAGCATCCGTGAGTCATTTTCTACCCATCTTTGGGCGCGTGGTCTCTGCGGTAGTCACCACCTTAAGAGGTTTGCAGCCTTGCAACATGGCAGACGCCTATTTTAAAAAGGTATCGGAACCTGCCTCCCAGGAGATTGCTGAAGAGGTGATGGCTAGCTCATCAAGTGATTCTGGGGAAGAATCTGACAGCAGCAGCACTAGTAGCAGCAGCACTAGTTGCAGTAGCAGCAGCAGTAGCCTCAGTCGCTCACACAGGAAGAAGAGGGTACCTGGGCCTTCCAGAAGGGCGCGGCGGGCTCGGTCCGGTAACCATTTTGTGGATAGGCTGCCGCAGGCAGTTAGAAATCGCGTGCAGGCACTCAGAAATATTCAAGATGAATGTGACAAGGTAGACGCCCTGTTCTTAAGGGCAATTCATGATCTTGAAAGAAAATATGCTGAACTCAATAAGCCTCTATATGATAGGCGATTTCAAATCATCAATGCAGAATATGAACCTACAGAAGAAGAATGTGAATGGAATTCAGAGGATGAAGTGTTCAGCAGTGATGAGGAGGTGGAGGATGACACCCCTGGTGAAATGCCTGCCCTAGAGGGTGAAGAAGAAGATGAAGACCCTAAAGAAAAGCCTGAGGTAAAGGCTGAAGAAAAAGAAGTTCATAAAGAAATTCCTGAGGCAAAGGCTGAAGAAAAAGCAGATTCTAAAGATTTTTTGGAGGCAAAGCCTACTGTAAAAGCAGATCCTAGAGAAGTCCCCCAGGCAAAGGCAGAAGAAAAAGAACAGCCTAAAGCAACAGAGGCAAAAGCAAGGACTGCAGTAAAAGAGGTTCCTAAAAGAGTTCCTGAGACAAGGCCTAAAGAAAGAATTAATCTTAAAAGAGCTCGTAAGGGAAAGCCTAAAAAAGAGGATCCTAAAGGCATTCCTGACTATTGGTTGACTGTTTTAAAGAATGTTGACAAGCTTGGGCCTATGATTCAGAAGTATGATGAGCCCATTCTGAAATTCTTGTCAGATGTTAGCCTGAAGTTCTCAAAGCCTGGCCAGCCTATAAGTTACCAATTTGAATTTCATTTTCTACCCAATCCATACTTCAGAAATGAGGTGCTGACAAAGACATATATAATAAAGTCAAAACCAGATCACAACGATCCCTTTTTCTCTTGGGGGTGGGAAATTGAAGATTGCAAAGGCTGTAAGATCTATTGGAGAAGAGGAAAGGATGTTACTGTGACAACCACCCACAGTCGTACAACTGCTACTGGAGAAACTGAAATCCAGCCAAGAGTGGTGCCCAATGCATCATTCTTCAATTTCTTCAGTCCTCCTGAGATTCCTAAAATTGGAAAGCTGGAACCACGAGAAGATGCTATCCTTGATGAGGACTTTGCAATTGGTCAAATTTTACATGATAATGTCATCCTGAAATCAATCTATTACTATACAGGAGAAGCCAGTGGTACTTATGAAGATGGTAAAGATTATGGTAACAGAAAATATAGAAAATAAAAATAAGGCTGTCAGAAAGATTGTTCAAGAACCACAAAACTTCAGGCAGAAGTGAAGCAGGTTTATATAGCCTTGGAAAAAACCCTGTGCTGTAACCTGAACATTATTATTCCTTACAGTCTTGTGTTTTCGTATTTTCTTGGTAGTCTATTTAAAAAGTTGTCCTAAAAAGTGTCTAAGTATTAGCTTATTCTATTTAGCCTGTTGTAGTTTAGTATTCTTCAAAATATATACACTGCTGTCAGTTATCTAAAGCATGTTAGTTTGGTGCTACAAAGTATTGATTTTTGTGAAGTCCTTTTGTCATGTTTCTATTAGATTGCAGCTGTGAAAACTGTCAGAATTGTTAACTGAGGCATATTTGCTTGGGAAAAAAAAAAGCATTTGCTGAAGTATCAATGCAAGTGTTTTGTTTTGTTTTGTTTTCTTCAGCCCAGAAGACTAAGAGTTTAAGTCTGCTTGGACTAGCTGTGCCTTCATTACTTTGCTATAGAATACAGTACTTATACTAAACAGAACAGTGCATTGTAAAATCTGACTGCTTGAAAAAAAGATTTGCATACATTTAAGAATGCCCATCAATACCATATATATTATGACTGTGAGCTTGTTTATGTGACATAGAGGTCTACAAGTAAATTTAATCATAATGAAATTATTGTTTTCCACTAAGGTGTTAATGTAACATAGTATTTTTAAAGAAGTTTACTCATACTGTGTAATTGTAAACAAAAGTTACTAAACACATTTTCTTTGTAATATGTTCTACTTTGCCTTTCACTGAAAATGATCACTTTACATCATTTGATACTTTTTCATGTTCTTATATTGCAACCTAAAATAAATAAATGTGAAATAAAGTGTTTCATGTTATAAAAATCTAGCATTTTTTCCTAATTATAAAAATGTGTTGGTTATCTTGGAAAATATTGAGGAAAAGAAAAATAAAAAAGCAAAAGATGATTATTGTTAACATTCTGATGTATTTCCCAGATCTTAGATCTTTTATTGGAGGATATACTTTCAAGTAACTGGATGAGTATTGGACAGGAGAGGAGGAAGGTGAAAGTGAGGGGGGGAGGGGAGGAAAAAGGGAGGGAAGAGGAGAGGGAGTGGAGGGCAAGGGGAAGAGGGCAAGGGGGAAAGGAGGGAAAGGGAAGGGTAGCAGGGAGGATGGAGTGGAAGAGGTGGAGGAAGGGGAGGATAGTAGGAATGGGAAGAGAAGAGGGGGAGGGTAGCAGGGAGGGGAGTGGAAGGGGTGGCAGAGGGAGGGAATAGGGGACATTTGCCATCTTCCCTTCCAAATATGGTTTTCTTCAAGCCCTTCCAGTGAAGAACTGTGGCCTGAGGAAGACAGGATTTGAGAATTTCTGGGTCCCTAGTCATAAATTAGCTAATATTTTTGCTAAATCCACCATGCATAGTTCAGTAACTCACTTTTATCCTGTTATCAATAGCGTCCCCTTCCATATCTACAAATGTAATAATATTCCAACCTATGAACATACTATAACATATTTTTAACCAATCACTTATGGTTGGATATTCAACTTGTTTATGAGTTACACAAAATCAGGAAGCCTATTGTTGCTTTTAGTGCCTTTGTTTTATTTCTGAGATTTTTGCATCCATTAAGTATGGGTATGGCAGCAGATTTACATATATGCTAGGGCTAAAACGATATATTTGGATCATCCCTCCGCAGATTCCCAAACATATATATATATATACATTATGCTTGCCAGACATCACAGATAGCAGAACCCTTACAACTTCTACGTGAAATGCAGCATCACTACTGTGTCTTGGAACTCTTACTGATGTATTTAGCCCCTTCCCTCTCTGAATTTTCCAGTACTTAATGAATGCATGCTCATTATAGAATATTTATAAAATAGAAGCAGAAATGCAGAAGAAAAAAAAAATCACTCAAGCACATTACATGAAAATACGCCCTGTTTGTAAGTTCGAGTATTTTCTCCCAGTGTGTCTCTTTCTAAGGTTTTTGGCTCAAGTTCTTGGCTCAAATCAAAACGTGAGTTCAAGCTGGGTGGGTGTAAGAGAAGCTAATTAGAAAGACAGCTTACTACCATTTTTAACTTTTATGTTTAAGGCTAAGAATAGGAGGAGGTGCTGAGGTTTTATGCATCAGTAAAGGTGTTGTTGTTGTTCTGTGCCGAGTCGATTCCGATTCATAGTGACCCTATAGGACAGAGGAGAACTGCCCCATAGTGTTTCCAGTGAGCGGCTGGTGGATTCGAACTGCTGATCTCTTGGTTAGCAGCCTGAGCTGTTAACCACTTCACCACCAGGGCTCCTCAGTAAAGCTAGGATTCCAGAAATGCTAGCGGTCTGGGGTAGAGGCTTCAATCACCTTGGCACGTAGAGGAAAGTGGGTAGAGCCGGTAAGCCAGTTGGGCTCAAACGTTCATTAGGCTGGATGTTTGTCCATCACACCTGCTCGTCAATGAATGATGTTAAAGAAGTCTCCAGGGAATGAAGCTAACGGGTAGGAGGCGGAGGCTGAGATCCGACAAAATGCGCTTAACAGGGTCTTCTGCCCCTTCGTTAGGGTGTGCAGTTTCCTCTTGCTATGATTCAAGGCTGAGGTCGGCAGCCACATTCGCTGCCCACACCAGGATTGCCGCCGCCACCGCTTCCTCCTGCTCCTGCTCCTCCTCTCTTGTAGCCGCTGCCACCTCCTCTTTTATGAGTTCTTTTCTATTCTGAGTTGGACACTAAGTGTCCACGGTAGTCACCCTAAAGGTTTGCTCTTTTTCGTTAAACATAGCATACTCCTGTAACAAGGAACTTTAGCAAGCCGGCCAAGAGGCTGCTCAAAGAGGTAATGAAAGAAACTGTTGAGCTGAGTGAGGAAAGTGACAACACAGGTAGTCAAATGATGCAGATGCCCCAGTGGGCCGCCAAAAGTGCTCCAAACCCTGGAGGTGCTGCTGCTCTGTCTGGAGACGCTGGTGTCCTTGTCCTCAAAAAGCTTCAGGAGCAATGTAATAAGAAAGAAACTGAATTTGAAAAGTAGTTGAAAGCTCCTGAAAAAAAACATAAACCCTCACTTGATGAAGTGTTTGAGCCCACCAGCGCATGTATTAGGACAATGTGGGGTCATGCCTGCAGATTACACACTGAGCATTGTGAAAGTGATGAGGTGTTGAATAAAGAGGATCTGAATTCTGAGGCTTCTGGTTGAAAAGGAGAAAAAAAGATTTAAAAAATTAAAGTTATGAGTATGTTTTCACTTTTCAAATTTATACAATTAAATTTCATTTTAGTAAAACGAATATTTCAAAACTATGGTGTTGGAGAAGACAGGAGCTAACGTTAAAATCAAATTTTTTGATCCCTTTTCGCTCTGAACGGAGCCTTGGTCGCACAGTGGTTAAGAGCTATGGCTGCTAACCAAAAGGCCGACAGTTCGAATCCACCAGCTGCCCTTTGGAAACCCTATGGGGCAGTTCTACTCTGTCCTATAAGGTTCCGATGAGTCGGAATCCACTCGACGGCAACGGGTCCTCTCTGAATGTTCAGAAATTGAGGTTTGCATATGGTGTCAGGTAGACCAGAGTGAATAAAAGAATGCTCCCTAAAAGCCAAGGAAATCACATTTTACATGGAACACTCCAAACCCAAATTCCAAACTAAACAAGTTCTCCAAGTCTAAGTCTTTTATTTCTGAAATTTTACAGTACAGGAAAGTGAAGTCCAAGCAAAAACAAAAAAAAGTTATATTCGTTTAGGACTTTGTAATTGCTAGAATTTACCATGCATTTCTAATTCGGGGATGAGAACTACCCTTCACAGGAGAGTATGTTCAAACTAAGTATGAGAACAAACTGAAAGACTGATGGAGATCCTGATCCAACTATTTATCAGACAGGAAAGCTACATTTTCAAGACCTGAAAAATACATTCAACATCTGAGTTTAGAAAACAATATGATTTGGTGAAATAGAGTGTATAACCTGCAGTATAATAACTTTAACACAATTATCCATTTCTTAAAATTTTATGTTTTGTGTTTTTTGTAGTCTATTTTATAAGATCAAAACAAAGTAAAACTATTAAAACGCAATATTTAGAAGTATAGTTTTCTTCAAGAAACATTGTTGTCGTGTGCCCTCAAGTCAATTCCACCTCATAGCAACCCTGTAGGACAGGGTAGAACTACCCCATAGGGTTTCCTAGGCTGTAATCTTTATAGCAGCCCTGGTGATACAGTGGTTAAGAGCTTGGCTGCAAACCAAAAGGTTGGCACTTTGCATCCACCAGCTGCTCCTTGGAAACTCTATGGGGCAGCAGAATCTATGACCTCAAGGTCTTTTCCCATGTAAAGCATATGGTGGGTTCAGCTCTTAACCATTTCGCCACCAGGGCCCCTTTCAAGAGAAATAGAATAAAGCAAATTCTCTAAAGCATGTTTAATCATTGCTACGTAGTTTAGTCCATATATCTTTTTGTCATATAGCTATTAGAGAGTAACTGAAACTTATCAGAACTCTTCACTGAAGCTAATATTTGCTTGGGAAAAAATATATACTTGAAGAACCAATTCAAGTGTGTGATTTGCCCCCAGCTCAGAAGTAGGAAGGGTTTAAGTCAGTTTGCACCAGGTGTGCCTTCATTATTTTGCTATAAAAATGTGACATTTATTATGCCATGGTACATTACAAAATTTTATACTTGAATAAACTAGTGTAGAGTTATGAATTTTCAAGAACAGTTAATATAATCTAGATTGTTTATGGTTTTGAATTTTGCATGACAGTGATTTATAAAGAAAAATATAATTATAAGGAAGGTGTTATTTCTCAGTGTGGTGTTAATGAAAATTAGTGTTTGCAAATCTTTTCATCATCTTTTACTCTTAGTAAACAGAGGTAATTAAGCATATCTTCTTTGCCCTATGTTTCACTGTAACTTATCACTTTATTATTACTGCATTAAATTTTCTTGTACTTATAAAATATGCTCATTGTAGAAGATCTGGAAAAATATACTGAAAAGTATAGAATAATTTGGAAAAATTCTATGTCCAAAGATAACCCCATTTTATAGGAAAAAGAAATAATGTCATATTAAAATTAAGGTGCTCTGGTGGCACAGTGGTTAAGAGCTCAGCTACTAACCAAAAGGTTGACAGTTCAAATCCACCAGCTGCTCCTTGGAAACCCTTATGTGGCAGTTCTACTCTATCTTATTGGGTTGCAATGAGTCAGGATCTACTCGAGGGCAAAGGGTTTGGTTTTTTAAATTAAAATTAAAGTA